GACATTGTTACTTCATTTGTTCTAATAATTCTACTTAATTAATTACATATTGTTTATACTTTCTTGTATTCCAATCACTCTCATGGATACCTCTATGACTAAAAGTCATATTATTTCCCATTTTTCAAATATTACATACTCTGATGAGGACACCAGTTTCAAACTCAAGTTGACGAAACAAGTGCGAAACGAAATCGTACCCAACCCCTGGGTGGTCGAGTGGTTTAATAGGAACTCTTGGGTGTATTATTTAAGAGATTATGAGTTTGAATACCTCCCCGATTACTAATAGGGGTGGTCACTAAAGCTCTTATCTGGTTAATAGTTTCAAAGTTCCGAGAGATTAGTTGAGATACGCGTAAACTAACCCGGACACCTCTAATCATAAAAATAAAAAACAAAAAAAAAAAAAAAAGATTGTTAGATCGTCAAAACAAAATTAGTTACAAGAACAAACCTCGAAAAGCTATTATGAAATAGATTTAAGTACTTAAATTCTGCCACCATCTTATCTTAAAAAGAACTTGTTTGTAAGATTAATACATGTATCTAATTAAAGATTATTTCATTGTCACAATAGATAGATATAGTTGATTCCAAAGTTCGTATCTAAATGTTACACAAGTTTAGATTAAAAATTAAAGTGGTTGTTAATTTTCTGACTTCTAGAAACTGAGAGCAAGCTATACTAATTAATTAAATTATCTTATCATTGTTGCAAATAATTTGCTCTCTAGTTTGCATAAAAATGATTCATAGGATAATTAATAACATGAGTTTAATTTTTGTTATCAATCTGTCTATCTATATATCTAAAATGATATCGTCTTACGTATTATCAAAAGACTGTGGTGATAGGTTCCTGCAGTACTCCTCAAAGATTAGGCCGGTTCAGCTTGCAAGCGGATTGGGATGTCTCGGTTATAAAATAAAAAAATGATATTGCCAGAATAAATGAAAAAGTGAGAGGATTTCCCACAAAGTTTATGAGACACTAATATTAGTGACTAAATTACAATTCTAAACCATATCCCAATCAAATAAAGTTTCCTAGAATTCCAAGGCATGGATTATTTTCAAAATGTAAGTAAGAATCTATGAAAAGTTTATAGGTAAATATTGGGTGCATAAAAGATGACTTAATTTATGAGATAACTTCATTAACCATCACAAAAAAGCTAACCATTGAGTTTCTTATGAAAACAATGAATATGAGCCAAAGCTAATTAGTCTGTTTTGCTTGTTGGCTGTTGGCAACAATAATTGACTCGTTTTTTGTCTCATTTTATGGTATGTTTCTCTGTCAAAATCTATCGATTAAATTAAAATATTTTGTAACTTGTAGATGGCAGCTAATCCTGCGGACAACCAGCTAATCTTTGCATGCATGATATTAGTTTTACGACTGTGACAACCAGCTTTTGTCTATGACTCATGTGAACATTTCTTCTTAATTTAATGCTGAAATAAAATTTTAATAATATCATTCCATCTTGGAATTGAAATCCTGAATGTTATATGCGAGAGAGAGTGTTAAATTTTTACTTTAATGGTGAGCTTAACTCTTTAGATTTTTTAAATGGTTTCTTAACAAAAACATTCAATTATTCATCACAGGACATTCGATGTATTCTTGACATTATCAAACCTAAAATCCCAACTTTAATATTCGATTGGCAACAAGATGTTAATTCTTATACGTCAAAATTGATTAAAATTCGTAAAATTTTGTCTTTCTTTTGTTATTGAAATATAAAATTCTATGAATTCTTGCATATAACAGTTAACTCTTGTTAATAGCACTGAGTTTAATTCTGTACTTTAAATAGACCGGACTTCCAAAAGGGGAAAAAAAAAAAACACTATTTATAATATAGTTAAACCTTGATAAATTAATATATTTGAGACAATAAAAATTTATAATTAATTGATAGATTATTTTATCGTCTAAATTAGTAAATTATTAATTTATTAAGACATTCTTTATTTTTTGTTTTCAAAACATTGAAATTAATGTGTATAATTAATGTGATATGGAGAATAGCGGTTAGAAATAACATTATTAGCCTAACATATAGCTATGAGTTAATGTGGTATAGGGATGAGGTCTAAGAAGATGAGGTTCAAAAGATATCAATTTCAAGAGGAAACAAATAATATTGGAGTCATATTTTACAAAAGCTTCTTAATTGAGTAGTGTATATATATATAAATAAAATTTTGAAGTATAAAGCGATTATTAATTTATATATCAAGTAATACCTATATGTTTTTTTTTTTTTAAATGTATTATCTTATAAATTTAACGAATTATTAATTTATCACATTGGTCTCAAATCGGGACGATCAAACATAATATTTAATTAAGATTATTAAGTTATCAAGGTTTAACTATAGTTTGTTAAAAAAAAAAAAAATCCTATAAAATTAATGTGCTAGGCCTAGCTAGCATATTTGTATAATAAAGAACATGCATGGTGATAAAAGATTCTTCCAGTGACAACGAAAGGAATATAGTTTAATGACTTCTTAAATTGTATGTGATAATTAAAACAATATTATCATATCATTCAATTTTGTTCATATTGCTTTAAATATAACAATTTACCAACCGTATATTCACCATTAATTCCAACACTGATTAATTTATTTATGGAATAATTTTGTTAAAAGATCATCTTATTCGTGGTCTTAGAAAATTATATAGTGGACTGGATACTATGTCCAAATGAATATGACAAGAACAATATAATTAATTAGTTCAAACTTCAATTATGATCACTCTATTCACAATACTATCTTCCACAATCAATTGTACTTTTATTTTAAGATTTTCAGTACATTATCCGATATAATATTATTATTTTAGAGTAAATCATGATTCACGAGAGTCTAACTAGATGATCAAATCTTTTTTTTTTTTTTTTTTTTCTGATAACTGAAATATTTTAGTCAATTTGCGCGTATTTTGACTAATCCTCAAAGAAAGTTAGCACATAATAATCACTCTCATGACCTCTAGATAAATCATAGACAAAATATTATTTTTGCGTTTAGTGAAAAAATAAACATAAGACTGTAGATTTATCTATATAGCCCCTTAAATCGCCCTTATTGCTGGACTATCATAGGTTTTACTCATATAAAGTCTAGGAGTTAAAATGATTTCAGTTTTGAACTGGAACTTGGGTCGCTACCTAAATTGAATGAACAATCGTTAGATTAGTAGGTCAATTAATTATTAATGAAGTGTAAAATCGTATCCTCTTTCAATGATAAAGTGATTAAAGAGTTCAATCACATAGGAAAGTGACATTTGAGTTTTTGGTTTATATAAAACTATCATGTAAAAGTTTGATGGGATATGAAATGCATGCAATAATTGGTTAAAAAATATATCAAAACTTAAATCAATTTCAAACCCTAATGTCTCTATCAATAATATATATATAAAATTTCTACCTATACATTTATATTGCTGCCTATAAATCTTTGAAGAGGGGAAAGCCTAGAGCTAGCAACTTTGTTCAATAATTGTAGTGATAATTAATTCTTTTTCTTTTTTAATTAAAAAAAAAAGGTTGAAATTACTTCTCTGACCTTATCACCAGCCCTTCGTTGACCAAAATAATAAATAAAAACAAACAAACACCTTAGACCCAGTCATTGATAGAGACAAATATCTATATATAGATTTTATGTATCGTTCTTTGAAAAAATAATAAATAAATTGTATATAAAGGAAAAAGTAATGTTACAATTTTCAAAACAATATATCCAAAACTTTCATCTCAAATTATAATAGTCACGTATAATTTATTACGTACACTTTTTAGAGCAATTATCATTTACTTGAATACTTGAATTAAACTTAATAGTATTAATTTCTCTGAGATATTATATGATAACCAAAATCCTTTGAGATTTTTGAAATAACAAAAATTTGGCTGCTGTTTACAAGCTGTTAACTTTTACCTTATTATGAGTTAGGAATATTATTAAATTACCCTCTGACCGTTTATTTTAATATTTAAAAGTTAACGGTGGGAGATTCCTGATATTTCCGAAACCTTAGGGAGATATTTGTTACTTTATCGTACCTTGGGGATAAATTATTAATATACATTTTAGAAATATGGAGTTTAGGTTCATATTGTCGAGCGAGGATAAGTATGGACCGGCTGGTTTATTAATAATGGGCTACTGTAGGCTGGGCCTTTGCAGTCCAAAGTCATTATTACCGATCATTTAGATTGGGTAGGACCATACGCCCAGCCCAAAATTTAAGCTCCAACTTATTATTATTTATTAATAGATTTCTTTTCTAAACAATTCCTAACTTAAGAATTAAAGATAACATGTTAATTATATTCATTTTTACAGAACACATAATTTCAACTCTTGGGCAGAATTTGTCTCTGAAAATATCATTATTTTTGTGATTAAAAAAAAAAAAAAAAAAAAATTATACGAGCTCCCATCAATTATCATATAGACAAAAATCAACTTTTGCAAAATTAATTTTTGTTAACAAAAATTTAAGTCCAACGAGTAAAATTATGGAGACATCCCATATAATAAAGTTTGTGATAATCCATAAATCTTCTATACTTACTTCGCAAGTTTGACTTTGAAATTGAAGTTTCTATCAAACCTTAAGATCTTTTTAAACAGAATCTATTAATTTTTAGATATACAGATTAAGTATATATAACTAAATACATTAAACCTTTTTAATCAAAGCGGAGTATATAAACTTTCAGTTGAGATTATGGGTCAACTCTGCAATATTTTATATGTCGATAAATAAAAAGGAATTATGCAAATCTTCAACGCTTAATACTACATGGTGGCAAGTCATATTTTTGCCTGCGGGTTGTGCTTCTCACGTAGCTCTTCTGTACCTAACAAAATAAATTAGTTAATTTCTAAACTATACTTATATATACATGTATACACATTAGATAATAAAAATCATTTCAAACAAATTTATCAGAACCATGAGTTCATCGATTTCCTTCCCGGTTTCTATCATTCTTCTTCTTCTCCATTTGGCCATTTCAGCCTCTGCAGCCTATCCTGGCAACAGTTACAAGCATGAAGAAGTAACCTTAGAAGTTGAAGATGATTTGCCCACATTGCCGGATATTCAATGGCGGTCGAACGATTACTTATCGCGATATTATTATCGCAACACGTGTCCAGACGTCGAGAAAATTATATATGGAAAGGTTAAAGAATGGTATGATAAGGATAAGTCCATTGCTGCTAGTCTCCTCAGGTTGCACTTCCATGACTGAGCTGTTAGGGTAAGTTATTTTTACTTTTATCTTTTCATTACTATATTTGTTTGGTTTAAATAAAAGTATATTTGATAAAATATTATGAAACTTTATAAAGACATATAGATAATTTTTCTAAAATTTTAGGAATATTGTGATTTTAAAAGAGATTTTTATTAATTTTTTAGAAAATGAAATAATGAACTGTTTATTACTGTCATACTGTCATCTGAACATAAGTTTTCTTATATAATTTATTATGTCAATTTTGTATGTAGGGTTGTGATGCCTCAATTCTTTTGAACCATGAGAGAAGTGAAAGGATGGCAAATGTGAGCAAACCATTGAGAGGATTTGAAGTTATTGATGATATTAAGAAGGAGATTGAGAAGAAGTGCCCAAGAACTGTGTCTTGTGCCGACATTCTGACGGCAGCCGCGAGGGACGCCACCGGAATGGTTGATGGTGGTAGATACTGGACGGTTGAGTATGGAAGAAAAGATGGTTTCTATTCTTATGACACAGAAGCTGATGAGTTGGTACCAAAGGGTCATGAAAGCATCACTTCACTTCTTGAGCTTTTCCAATCCATGGGATTAGATGTCTCCGATTTAGTCATCCTCTCAGGTAAATCTTCTTATTAGATATGTCAAATGGGTCGAATCAGTTTACATTTCATTCCAGATTATCGAAGTCTTAACTATTAAACTTCTATTGTTTTCCAGGAGCACATACGATTGGAAGATCATCCTGTGGAGCAATTCAGGACAGGATCTACAATTTCAATGCATATGGAAAACCAGATGAACCCATTGACAAAAAATACTTGAACTATTTGCAAAGAAAATGCAGATGGGCTTCAGAATATGTTGATTTAGATGCAACAACTCCCAACACTTTTGATACCAATTACTACCAAAATCTTGAGAAAAAAATGGGATTATTATCCACAGATCAACTTCTATATTCTGACTCTAGAACCAAATGTATTGCCACTGCATTGGCTGATATGAAATCTCATACCTACACTCAATTATTTGGAGCTGCAATGACAAAGCTTGGGAAAGTTAACGTTCTAACCAGTAACGATGAAGGCGAAATTCGAAGAGAATGCAGTGTTGTTAATTCTCACAAGTACTAGCTTTGATCTTAATTTCCTCGATCTGTAATATGTTGATCGTCACTTGGTCATTTAACTTCCCATGTTTTGAAAATTTCTTTTTTGGCTTATCGATATGCTGAGAAATCACATTTTTCTCCTTGTGAAACTCTCTCTATATATGTTTGAACATTCTTGTTGAACCTTTATTTCTACTTCAGAATCCATTACTACAAGATGTAACTTTCACATCCACGTTATTACTTATTAGGGGATGAGAATCTTAAGAAAAATGCTAATCTTACAAAAACTACTTGTAGGAGGCTTTGTACAAAGTGGCAAGCCACATCAACTGCCATGTCACCACTTTCCACATGCATTTTCTTAAATGTTTAATTAATTAATTATATTAATTAAAAACTAAATAAACGCATTTTGGGCAAAACATACGAGAAAATGATGGATATAAAGTGTTGGTTAAACACATTATTGGAATGGAAACTGGGATTGTTTATGCTCTCTATAATGGTATTTCCTCTCATCTATGAATGTTGATGTGTCAAGAAATACACTAGCCAATACTTTAAAAACTATTTTTCCTCAAACTAAAAACATATTTTTCTTTATTAAATAACCACTTGATACAGTTCAAGCCACAAAACAAATACAAAAAGTGATCATAAAGTTTTTGGTATAAAAGGGTTGTTCATATTGAACAATTTCTACATTTAAAACCAAAACAAACAAATGTATCAATTGAAGTACTTCAAAATTTTCATTTCTATATTTTCTTAGCCCGGCCAATCAAATTTCCCTTTCAAGAGGTTATGTTACCAGCATACAATCACTCTTCGGAACGTAGAGTAATGCCAATGAACCTGGAGATCCTCCAAGAGGGCAACAAAATATCATCAGCTACACTAGGATAATTTCCTGTCTGGGAATTGAGGAAGGAGAGAAGAAATCAGAAACTAGGGTAGCGTTTTTCTTTTTTTTTTTCCTTAATAGTTTTTTATACTTTAGTTTAAAAAAATTAATTTAGAAATAAAAATAAGCTCAAATTTTGTACTTTTAGAAAAAGGATTAAAGCAACTTACATTTGTTATGGCCCTACAACAAACTCTGAATTTCAATTTCCATGAAGGAGCATGGATCAGGAATGTCGAAGTTGTTCAAAACCTGAAACAAAAACCCACATTTAACAAACAAAAGCCCATCTTCTATCAACTTCAAAAAAAAAAAAAAAAAAAAAAAAATCTAATAAGAAATGATTTTCCTTTTTCCACTTGCAGCGAGAGATTATAAACAAAATAAATGAAAAAAATATCAATAATCTTAACTAAATTACATCCAGAACAGTTGTCAGCTCATAGCGTGATATAGTAAAAGCACGAGGATTAATGTTTATAGATGGCAACAATTAACCGAAATCATAATGCAATTCCTAGAATGAGGAAGTGATTGTAAATACCTCAGGGTGTACAATACCGAAAAAGCCAATGTGTTTCCCTTTGTAAATAATGCTGGCCTGCCTACCCGGAAGAAACTCGGGCTCCTTCAGAACATTAAGACAGTGAATACATCATTAACATGCTTATAGGCAAGCATGAAAACGACATGGAGAAAATACTTACATCTGATTGTTTTATATAGTATGCTGTATCATTACCCACTTCAAACTTAGTCCCTACAACCTCCATTATTCTGTCAAGTAGGCAATGAATCAACTGCAACAATAAGGTTAAAGAAGTCAAATCATTTCAATCCATTAAGAGCAACTCAAATAATTTAAATCCGTTGTACAGGAAAAAAGATTTCCTAGCTTGAACATCTGATTTGTATTTAGAAAGTATCAATTTGCTTCAGTCTGCAGATCTCATAGCTCTAAAGTAATTTCCTTTCTACAAATAAACTTTTAGAGATGATGCTACTTTCAGTTTATTTGTTGACACTTCACAACATAAAATAAATTGTTGCTAATATTCGTAGAACTTGAAAATGAAAAATCATTGCCTATCTATGGCCGCAATGATTTCCATTTTCCAAAGGTAAACACAAGTCTACTCGCGACTTACTAAACACAGCACAAAATATTTTACTTTCGTGAATTATATTTCTTTTAGACCTAGACACATTAGATTGGTGAGCCAACCAGTAACTGTGTTGGCTTGGGCACGGCGATTAACAACAGTTATAACAACATAACATTCACATCAAACTTGGAACAGTTTGCACAAAGGTAAAAATTTATCATATTCAATGAATCACAAACATGGAAGCAAACAACATAAACCAAAAGGCACGTTCAACCTTAAATTGGATAATTTAAAGCAAATCAAGTTAAAGTTGAGCAGACTGCAAGCCAAAGTTTGTCATGGTCTAGCACAAGGAGACCATAAGTATGTTCAAAGGTAATTATATATATATAGGAAACTAGTATGTTGGAACTAAGAATTAAAGTTTACATTAGTAGGCAAGGTGTCCGCTGCAAGAGTGTCAGATCTTCATTAAAAAAAGTGAACAACCATGTGTAATCTGTGCAATATGAACACCAAAACAAGAGCGAAAAAGATGTACAAAGGTTCAGACAAAGACTGGTGACACATTAACGATGGAGAAATTAACTCCTTAACATCATAAAAAATCCTAGTAAGCAGTTATGGACAACTCAACCTACCTATATAAGGTTGATCCTTCCTATTTTAGATTTCAGAATGTACATACCTAAGGCATAGTAATAATAATAATAATTTACAACTGTAGCCTGCAATGGAAACATTTAAATTTCAATGACTTACACCGTCTTACTAATTTAAGGAAAAACTTGGTGATACATATTACAAGTAGAATGAATTTAACACTCTTTCATCAAACAACATGAAATATCATGCCGACCTAGGGATGTCAAAAATTTTATATAGATAGACAAATTGTTCGAAGACAATCATTTTCATACCAATATTGATTCTTGAACATGCCGAAAATTTTCCAGTCACAGGGATTCCAATGCCTAGCAACTGGATTTTGGAGACCGATTCACCAAATTCAAGGTAAAATATTTAAACAATTTAATTATACAATAGTCAATTATAATTTAATAATGTAATTAGTATAAAGATATACTTTTTGTTTTAATAGTTTTAAGTAATGGATTGGATATTGGATATTTATAACCCAATCCAACCCGTTTGAATAACTATTTATAGGATCCATATCCTATCCATTCTAGATTTGGATTGGATATTACCTAATCCATTTGCATAAAAATCCATAGTATCCAACCCATTGAATTTTTTTGCCATCCATATTAAGGATATTGGCTCTTACATTTATCCTTAATAAGGATGGCAAAAAAATCCATTTATCTTTAATAGGGATAAAAATCCAATGGATTGGATATACATGGATTTGTATCCAAATGGATTAAATAGTGTCCAACCCAAATATGATAGATATGGATTCTACCATAATTATCCAAAAGAGTTGGATTGGATTATGGATATCCAATATCCCACCCATTATCCAAAAGTCAAAACCATTAAAACAAAAAGTATATAATATAAATTACATCAAAATCCGACCAATGAAATCCGATGACAGAAAATTTTTCAATGAGTTTAGGAATCAATATTGGTATACAAATGATCTTCAAATGATCTATCTATATATATAAAATTTAAAGACAATAAAGGTTGATTTTCGAGATCTGGCAAAGAAAGTTTTGTGAGATCCCGAACAAACAATGCATCTATTGCTATAAAAAAATTACAAAGTTAGATAGATTGTTCAAAGACAATCATTTTGATACCAATATTATTAACATAGCATGCTAAAAGTTTCTCCAGTCATTGGATTATGGCGGCCAGAGACCTATTTCCAACAACTGGCTACTCATTCCGACCATTGTGCTGATCAACATATGGTCAAAGTATTTAATTTTTTTTAAATAAATAAAATTTAGAAGTTATTTAATAATTTTATATAAATTCATATTTATTATGAATAAGGGCATTTTAGGTAATCTAATTTATGTGTTTTTTAAAATTATAAGTGTCTCGATATAAGTTATAGAATTTAACTTTTTATGGATTAGATAACCCATAACCCAATCCATTATCTGCAAAAATCAAATCCAACCTAATGCATTCTCAAAATTTTAAGAATGGATTGGCTGAAACTTCATGTGGATTGGATTTGTAGCGTACAAATTCCTTAAGTAGGGTTTTGATTAAGGAGGGATGGGAAAAAATTGGATTTGGAAATTTAAAAAGCTTGCAGCATACAAATTCCTTAAGTAGCATATTGTTTGATTAAGGATTAAAGGTGAGAAAAAATTTAGATTTGGATTAATTGCACCATAATCCAAATCCAAATTTTTGTCACTCTTAATTCTTAATCAAACAATATGCTACTTAAAGAATTTGTATGCTACAAACTTTTTAAATCATTTGAAGTAATCTATTTTTAAATTTTTCCGATTTGACAATATTATTCATGACTTTTTTAATTTTTCCTTAGTCCCACCATTATCAAAAGAATTAAAATGAAACTTCATTATTGTAAGACATTTGTCTATTAAAATAGAATATGTTTTCTGCCCATCACACCATATCCTTTAGACCTCTGACATCACAGGCTTGGCAAACTTTTTTTGTTTTTTTCCTATCAGACTTAGGTGGACCAACTACACTGCACATCTAAACATGTTTATCATAGGTTTAGCAACATAATACCTAAAAATCTCTAAATCTAAAAGTTAAAAATAATTTTCTTTTAATAAGCCAGATATCCTTGGGTACGTGCAGCAGATTCAAAATTGGGGACTATTGCCTGACCATAATAGTTAATAATACTTCTGATTAAAGAACACAACAATTTCAGATATTTGCCATAATAAAATTTATAGTCACACGTCACTGCCAGAAAATGAAATTAATAAACAACAATCAGAAAACTGCAACTTAACTTCCAGAAGGTGAAAGTCTCAGTAAGCTTAGTGAGAAGATATTACCTCAAATCCTGAGTTAGCACCACAGTATAGC